GAATGAGGAGGACAATCGGAGGAGGCTCGAACAAGGGATGAATCATCGTAAATCGTAAGAAAAGGGCTTGAGCCGAGGTGGCTAAGACAAAATAATAAATTAAAAATGGGCTAAAAGTGATATATAGTCGTTGAATTTTTATTTATTTTTTGCATGTAACTTCACTCTTTCAATAAGGACAAAATATAAGTTAGACATTTATGAATTGAAAAGAAGTGAGCATCACATGGTTTCACACACAATGAAATTGTGTTTAATACGTGTTTGCAATTATATATATGTGCAATATATGTTTCATTCAAAAGTAATGTGTGAAATATTATGATATTTTATTTTGAGCAACTTTCATATATAGCAAACACAAAATTCATATTTATATGTTATAGCAAAGTTTGTATAATTGCGCTCCATAGCAAACATAAATATGTATATTTCGCTATACACATACAAAAGAAAGCGGTTGTATAATCTGTTTTGGTATACATTTACAAAAAGATCAGTTGTATAAAGTGAGAGAGGCGAGTGAGCGAGCGAGATCTGGAAGAGTGGCGAGCGAGATCTGGGAGAGGGGAACAAAAATATGTATATATATACAATTTTCACACATCTTATACATTTGCGTTTTTGTATAAAGTGAGAGAGGCGAGTGAGAGAGCGAGATCTGGGAGAGGGGAGAGAGGAGAACGAAAATATATGTATATATACAATTTTCTCTCGCTTTATATAAACACAAACGCATTTTATACAATTTGCAAAAAAGTGAGAGAGGCGAGTGAGAGAGCGCGATATGGGAGAGTGACGAGCGAGATCTGGGAGAGGGGAGAGAGGGGAACGAAAATATATGTATATATACAATTTTCTCTCGCTTTATACAAACACAAACGCACTTTATACACTTGTATTTGTATAAAAAACGAGAGAGGCGAGGGAGAGAACGAGAGTGGTGAGCGAGATTCACCAGGAGAGAGGTGAAATAGCAACAGTTTGTTATGAGGTACAATTAAATCAAACTATATTTATAGCATTTAATTTGCATTAATAATTTGCTATTATATACAATTTTCCCTTTTATTTTTAAACATAACCATAAAATTATTTGTAGCGTACGTGCAACTGTGCAAGTTACGTGCTTTATGATTGTCTGATTCAATTTTAAGAATAGTAATTTTTGATACCTCATTTTTCTAGGAAATATATTTAATTATTCATATTCTCACATCATATCTAATAGCTCTTACAGGAAGAAAAATGTTCGAACAAAAAAAAAAGGTTAAAAAACAAGAAAATGAATACAAAACGATTGTTGCATTTATTGTCTTCACACTTGCAACAAGGAAACATCAACATGTGAAAATATAACAAGATTTAAAATTGATCAAGGAGCCGATAGTTGCATATAAAAAAATAAATTGTATGACAATTTATTTTTTAATTTCTTTATTTGTTTTTATTTTTTCTGTATAATTGAGTAATTTATTTCCGTTAGTATAGTTGATAAATTTGATATATATTTATAATACTATCTCAGTTTTAATGTATGCTTCGCCTAAAACTACATCTCCATATTGTTATGGAATAGTAGCTTTTCTTCAATTATTATTATTGTCACACTTATCTATTTCTATGAATATTAATATTCATAGAATGATTTTAATTATGTGTTAGCTAACAATAATGTTATTACTACTGAAAATTAAAATGTAGATCAGTTACAACTTAGAATGTAGATCAGTAAACTAACAATGACATTATCATACTATTCTACATTAGTAATTTGTTAGGGAAATATGAAAAGCAAGATGTTCAGTTATTTATGAAGATAACACATGTTATGCAAAAGGATTCAATACATATAAGATTATTTCTCATCAGAAATGAATTGTCTCCAATGCAAAGAGTAAAATACTGAATAGGTGAGCCTTAGTCCCAAGATTAAACCCATAAGTGTTTGAAAAGATAATATCAGTACAATAAAATAAAAATAGTCCAATTGAGATGTTAAACTATTGAGGAGATTTGATTCAAAAGAAATAGAATTGAAAAAAATGAATATTTCCTAAATTGTGCTAATCAAATTCAGTGAAGAATAGAAATATTAATTAATCGCAAGAGATATTTAGGAAAGAAAAATATTTTGATTTAATCAGCACTAGTCTTAAATCAATTAACTAACACAATCTCATAGAGTGTTAATTATTTATTTATTTCTAGTGAGTAAAGTAAAATGTAATACTATTTTTAAAAAAAATAGTAATTCTTTAGAAAAATACATGCGGGGAGTGAAATTAAATTTAATAATATATGGGAGTAAATTTGACGATCTCTAACACTTGCAAATATATTTTTTCTGAAATTGATTTGTTTTACTTTAAGTAATTTATAGTTCCAAAATCACCTTTTATCAATTTTATCCTCTCAAATAATAATCAAGATAATACAAATCTCTAATCTAGGTGATTTCAATTTTTGTAAGACGGTATCTTAAATTATACTAGAATTTGTCAAAATACAAGCTGAAAATACCTGTACACTTAGCCTCATCAAGAAGCTAGAAACCGGTGGCGATAGTTATGACAGTAGTGATCGAATTCATAAGAGAAAGAAGAGCTATGGTGATATCACCTAAATCTAGAAAAAAACTATTGATAGTTATTTTGCTTTTCAATCTCTAAAAATGGTGATAATAAACAAATCAGAAAAAAAAAATCATGGTAATAGTCGAATCTGAAGAGGGAGGAGGAGGTGACAACAACAACAGTGGCGATGATTTAGATAGAAAAAAAAAAGGAAGACGGGGGTGGTGCATGGTGATGGCCGGATCTGAAGAAGAAAATGGTGGTGGCGAACGGATCTAAAGAGAGATCGAGGATTAGGAGATAGGATGAAGTTATTGTGGTAGGAGGAGGTGGTGGCGATAACAACGATGATTCAATAAAATAAAAAGTCATTGAGACACCAAAAAAAAAAATGCAATCTACTTTGGATAGGAGTAGATCTCCACAAAAGAGACAGACGGATGAAATCAATCTAAAAAAAGGCCTGGTAGTGGGTTTAATTGAATCTGAAAAAGAAGGAGGTAAGGCGAGGTGGTGTATGATTGAGTCTCAAGAAGAAGGAAGTGGTGGTGGCAATGGCAGCGACGATGTGGTGGTCTGATCAGAAGAATGAGGGAGATGATCGGAGGAGGTAAAGATGAGGTGTCTAAAGAGGACAAAAATAATACGTCAAAAATATGCTAAAACTAGTGCATTTTTGTTTTTGCATGAAACTTCACTTTTTTGATATGGAAAAAATATAAGTTAGATATTCAAAACACATTAATATATATATACACTCAAATGTTATATATGTCCGATACATATTTCACATTAAGATGAGGTATTAAATATTATTGCAAAGATTGAGCTCCCACCTAATTATTTCATTAATTGACTGTCTTATTCTCTCTCTCTATATATATATTAGTAAAGAAAGTATATATATAGCAAATGATTGTTTTTTTAATTTACTTTAGGGTGATAACTTTCACGTGATATATTTTAAAAGATTTTATATTGATTACCTAATAACACAAAAATATGAGTGAAAATATGACCTGTATATTAAAAAAATAATACTAACATAAAGTTTATAGCACAATATATATGTCGATTATTCTAGACAGTTAAATTCAATCAGAAGTTAGAAAAAGAAACAAACTCCAAGAAATATACAACTACAACGACAGCATAGAAAACTACTCTTACTAAACTAGTAAATTTATACAAAATATATTTACACACACATATATATATAAAGAGGTGGTGGTGGTTTTGATTTAATTTGAAAAAGATGATGATGGTAGTGGTCGAATCCGAAAAGAAATGAAGTGGTGTGGTGGCAACGACTACGACAATTCAGTCAAAAACGAAGAAGAAGATGGTGATGATGATGATGACCGAATGTAAAAAAAGAAGGCAATGATAGTCGAATCTGAAGAAGAAGGAGGTAAGGAGGTGGTGCATGATCGAGTCTCAAGAAGAAGGAAGTGGTGGTGGCAATGGCAACGACGACGTGATGGTCTGATCAGAAGAATGAGGGAGATGATCGGAGGAGGTAGAGATGAGGTGTCTAAAGAGGACAAAAATAATACGCTAAAACTGAATAGCTAGTGCATTCTTGTTTTGAATGAAACTTCACTCTTTCGATAAGAGCAAAATATAAATTAAACATTCATACTTTAGAAGACGTGAACATCACGTATTTTCATACGTATGAACTGTGTTTGATATATATACTCAATGTTGTATATACGTCCAATACATGTTTCACACAAAGATGAGGTATTAAATATTATTGCAAAATTGAGCGCCCATCTAATTATTTAATTAATTGACTATCTTCTTCTATATACATAGCTTAGTAAAGAAAGCACATATATATAGCAAATGATTTTTTTTTAAATTTTCTTTATGGTGATAACTTTCACGTGATATAATTTAAAAGATTTTATATTGATTACCTAATAACACAAAAAAGAGTGAGAATATGACTTGTATATTAAAAAAATAAATACTAATATAACTTTTATAGCACAATATAAATATCGATTATTCTAAACACTTAAACTCAATCAAAATTAGAAAAAAAAACAAACTCCAAGAAACATACAACCACAACAACACCATAGAAAACTACTCTTACTAAACTTGTAGATTTATAAAAAATATTATTTACATATATCTATATTATATTTATTTTTTTAAAACAGTAACTTAAATACAAGTTGAACATTTTTACAGTCCATATACATATATACTGCTTCTCAACACACTAACTATATTACACGTCATATTAATGACTTACACACTTTTAGTAGTAGCTTCTTTCTATATACATAAACTTCAACATGCCTTATCCACTTGCATGCTCTAATACCTTTACAAGTATACATATATAATGCATGCATTTTTTTTACCATATATATATATATATATAAATACACATCATATAATAATAATTTAACCACACCATGGAGGAAAATTAAGGCCATCATCCAAGTTGTATCCACCTATTCCTGGATCATTCACTGCTTCTTGAAATGAAGTTGTTGCCTTAGCTTCTTCCCAAATTGATGAATCATCAATTTCTGGTAAATTCATGTTTAGATCCCTAAACATTTCTCCACCAAGTCCTTGACTGCTTTGATTATTGTTAGTAGCATTATCGTTTTTTTCAACGAATTCGTCAGGATGATCATCAGCTGTTTTATTAATGTCGATTAAATTAAATGCAGATGGAATATCATTAGCAGAAAAATTGTTGATACCGAAATCATGATCGTTGAAATAAAGCGAAGAATCAGTTCCTACGCTCCAAGTTGATGGCGAAGCCACATTATAAACGGAAGGGACAGGCGGAGCAGGAATTGAAGCTGGAGCAGTAGCTGAAACGGGAGCTAGAGATGGGCTCATGATGGTAATGGGCCTAGAGTTTTGGATTTGGGCCTGGGCCTGGGACTGATCCTGGGCCGGAATGTTGTACAGATGGGGCAAATTGAGTTTGGCTTCGGCACCATAAAGCTTAAGGGCTGCAGCGTCATAGACGACAGCAGCGTCATAAGAATTATCAAAAGTGCCGAGCCAAAGCCGAGCTCCGCGATTGGGTTCGCGGATCTCGGCTACCCATTTACCCCAGGTGCGTTGCCGTACACCTTTGTACGTGCAACTTGCATTCTCGGGGCCACCTTTACCACGCATACATCCCTTGCGGGATGTAGCTGGGATCAACTTCTTGGAGGTTGTTGACATTGTCTAAAAAGAGAGGAAAATATTGAAAATTGAGAATTGAGAAAGGAAATTTTGTTTTGAAATGAAAATGGGCTAAGAGAGATAAGAGGGTATTTATAGGTGAGTGAAGCTGGAAGTTGGGCCTAAATATTGGAATTGTTATAGGATACGTGGCTGCTTACATGGATAACTTTATGATACATGTCAAGTGTAACATTTGATCATATTTCTATCTTTTTTTTCTTCTTTAATTATTAATTTTTTTCAGATTTATTTCAAGATGATCATCTTTAATTTGTGTGTCTAGTTTATACAAGTGCTTGCTTATGTGTTTATTTTGTTCTGAAGCTAAGGTGTCCAAAAGAAATTGTTACAGCTCAGAATACAGTTAATAGTTTTCTTCTTCTTTTCCTTTTTATTTTTTGAGGAAAGGGTCAAAAAAAAACTTCCACAGTATACAAAATATTGGGGTTTGGGGGGTTTTATGGCCCAAAAATTGATGGCCTACTAAATTTGCCTAAACTTTTATGGATTTGGTGTAAGATAATTTTATATTGGGCTAATGTTAATCTAATCCAATATAACTCATTTTTAAAGTGATTTTCAATAAGGAAATTATATAAACTATCCCATAAAAGTAAATTAATTACCGTGATTTATCCTCTCTTACTTATTTTCTCAATATTTATTCGGCCTAAACTAAGTACAGGTTTGCACATCCTTCTTTTTTGTGCAAGAGCGTGATATCAACATGATCACACATATAAATTAGCCATATATGATACTCTGTCAGTATATAAATATACTAAATTGATAATATAGGACTGAACTCTTTTTTCTTTGAGAGAGTAAACAAGAAATAATTAAAAGAAAATAACTAAAGTCACTAATTTATCAAAATCTAATTTAATAGAAAATATAATTTTTTGAAAAATAATTCAATATTTATGATATCATGTCAATGTATGATATATATCATGTGATCATAAATAACTAAAGTTACTAGCTTATATATATTAAAATCTAAGTTAATGGAAACATACTTTTATTATTAGTTGTTGTGTGTTGGCATTCAATGGTTACTGAAAGTAGTCATTCATGATATCATCTCAGTATATGATATATATTATAATGGTATCATAGATGACTGAAAAATATCTCATTGAAGGATTAAAGTAGTCGTCTATGATGCGATGTAATTGTACATATAATATGTTGGTATCATGAAGGACCGAAGAGTGTCTCGTTGATTGATTAAAGTAGTCCTCAAAGATATCATATTAGTATATAGATATACTATGATAATATCATGAAGACTGAGGAATGTCTCATTTAATAACTGAAAGTTGTCATCCATAATACTATGCTATTATGTTGGTATATATGTAATGCTATCATGAAGGAATGATAAGTGTCTTATTGAATGACTGAATCAATCCTTCACCATATCATATCAGTATATAGATATAATGTGATGGTATCATGGAGGACTAAAAAGTCTCATTGAAAAATTAAAAATCATCCTCCATGATCCCAAGTCAATATCATAAAGAATGATTGTCTCTTCAATCCACAACTCATATTAATATTTAAGATTTACTTTAATTTTAATTTTGCTACTTGAGATTTACTTTAATTTTTTCTATGGATCGAGACTCGGATCTCAAATCTCATGTCCGGATTAGGGCTTATATCTCACGTTAGAGTCAGGATCGAACCTCAAATTTTGGGACAAGGTTGGATCTCAAGTCCTGTGTTAGGTTCAATTGCTGGCATTGGGTCAGGATGGGTCTCGACTTGAGTCCCTAAAAAGGGTTGGAGATCAGGTCCCGAGTCAAGGATCGAGTCTTGAATTTAGGGTAAATTTGAGCCTCGAATCCCAAGTTAAAATTAGATCTCAAATCGAAATCAAGTCCCCGATCAGGATTAGGGATTAGGTCTCGGATTAGGATTGATTCGGTTGTCAAGTGACAACTCGAGTCTCGAGTCAAGATCAAGTCCTAGGTCAAGGGGCCTAAAATTAAGTTGAATTCCGAGTTAGGGTTCTAGTAGGAGGAAAGTGGACTATTCAATAAAATTGGCGAATCATGACCCAATCCAGTTTTAGCAGCCCAACCAATTTCAACCTAATTAATAGCTTTTGTGTTAATTTCAGCCCAATCTATTTATCAACTCAACTCATTTTAACCTGCTCAAATTCAACCTAATCAGTCCATTTAACACCCCTACAAAACATTACAACCACTACTTAAGAATGTGAACATAATTTCCAATATAAATAAAATTGTCTCATATTTGCTCCTAATCCTATGTTTATAACATAATTCAAACTAATGCTCATAAAAAATCATCACCCATTTTTTCTTGCTTTTAATGAATGAAAACTGGCATGTATAGTAAACAAAAACAAAGAATCAAAAAAAATGCTTAGCTCATTTTTTCTTTTCCAGAAAAAAATGTTTACGAGGATAAGTACGTCTGACTACAAAAAACTAAAGAAATAGACAAAGAAGAACAAGCTGGCTATTTTAGTATTTCCCATTTTTATACGTGTCTATAAGAATATGAAGAAGATACAGTTGTACATAATTGGAAGTTAGTTCAGATTCATTCAAAGCATTTACACATAGTACCAAATACCAGAAAATACCACCATCCATAACTAATTAATGAAACAAAATACTACTTAGTAGTTCAATTCTGTGGGTAACTAAAATGCAAGTTTACGAGGAGTTTTTTTTTTTTTTTTTTTTTATGTTCATACTAGTCTTGTGAATGAGTCCGAGGAAACTATGTTGTATTGTCGGACTTTTGTGTCCCGCTACTTACAAAATACTTTGGGTTGGCTACATTTCCCTATAAAAATATATAGCTAAATGACAAATTTATATGCTATCTTATGTTATATTCCATACGTTTCAAAAAAATATTTCCTCTAATCCATAAGTTAATTGTTTTTAATATATAAAATTAATGCGGTGTTTGATTTGTAATTTAGAAACCTACATAATTAATACATGTATAAATTATGAAGAAATTTATGTTTTTTTTTTATGTATGATAGAAGGTGAAATAAATAATACATGCATAAAGCAATATCAAATTTACTCATGACTAATTCTTACATTACTAATACTTGTATAACTCTAACTAGCTATTAAATGATCTCTTAAAGAAAAATATTTAAGGACAAAAATAAAAGTTTACCTTTCACTATTATCCTTTTGATTATTCCTAAACTATTCTCTTAGAAAATGTAAAGTAGATAAGAACCTCGTTAAAATGAAGGGTAATTATGAATTATCCCAACAATTCTCTAGATCTTTAAAAATATCACTTATTTTAATTTATGAAAAAAGTCTCAAAAATTTACTTAATAAGGATTGTTTTTAGTAAATTATCAAATTTTAACATTCTATGTGGCAAGTTTTAAATAACAAGATTTAAAAAATTACGCACGTTTATAGTATCTTGAGACGAAGGGAAGGGAGTATAGTAAATCAATACTCCATAAAATCAAAGTATGTCTTTCATGTATAATAAGGTTAAATTACTTGATTTAATATAAATATCGAATGCAAATAAGTATTATATTAAACGAGGTAAGTCCGCGGTCATCATAGAGGCAAATCATGGGATGTGTAAAAAGAAAATCGGAAAGGAAAGAACCAAAATATGAAATGTGAATCACAATCAAATCCAAAAGGCAAAACAGTCAAAAAGCTATTAGCATAAGTTAATTTAATTGAAAGAAAAAAATACTAACAATTAGTATGTCAAGGTATCACGAAAACCTTGGTCTATAAGAAATTGTGTATATGCTTATGATATCAAATTTCAATTATCTACGTCTCAATCTCAAAACAAGTTACTACTGATCGTCTCAACTTAATATCAAGCTAATATTAATCCCAACAACATAATATTATATTATCACGCATAAATAATTGACATTTTAATATTACAACATGAAAGATACATGTACCAAAATAAAATATTTTTTTAATCTGTAAATACATTAGAGAAATGAGTCAAAGAGGGCCACAAGAATATTCACATATACACGGCCGCTATATAATTTCCAACATAGGAATAGGCCGCAGTCACATAATCTTCTTAGGGTAGACTGACAAATTTTGCCTCTACACTACTCAATAATGTATCCAAAAATGTAGGAATATATATAGAGAATAATTATATATGTAATTATAGCAGCCTTTTGATATGTTAAGTCAACCAATCATATGAATGATTTAAAAAACTCTATATTAAAAAAAATCTCCATATTAAAAAAGAACTCTTGACAGTAGCAAGGTTGTATCATAGGAATTCCCGTAACGCCGCCCTTATCGCCTTTAACATCTCATTGACTTTGATCCCTTTCCTACGAGCAACAAACATAACAGAAATTTCACCGTTAGCCACTCAAAATAACATGTAGATTTATATTGGGTGAAGAGGTTAGACTGAAAGTAGAGTCTAACTTTGTTCTTTTATCTTAAAGAATAACATATTGTATTTGTCAAATAGATCAGAAAATAAATTATAGAAATGAAAGAGTCTTTTTAAAAATATTTTTTTCCCTCTTTATTTGGTGTAAAAACAAAAAATTAATTCAAATATCTTCTTGACAGCATATCAAATGACTTGAATGATCACGTAATTAACCGATATGACAACATTAACGTTAGCTCAATAAAATTGGTAATATAAATCAAATTTTAATGAAAAGTCTATATTTCATTATTTTTTCCTATACTTCGTATTTATAATTAGTACCGTTAAAGAACATAACAATTTTAACTTTACATTGTAATATTATTATTAGTATTTATACTGATCAAGATTAATTCAAGTTAACAGATGTTAGTCATTTATTTGCAATACATTGTGTATGTTGTATTGTTGTTATTATACAATTTGTTAGATGATGTTGAATAAAATTTTATTTATTAATATGAAGATGTGAGTAGTTTAATTCAAAATTCTAGAATATTATCTTATATAAAGAGTAGTTTTTT